CAAATTTTTTAAAGTTATCACCACCCATAAGGAACCTCCAGCAGGTGGGGAAAATGAAACATTTTCATTATATCAAAAGTGTTCATTTCATTAGAACAAAAACTGGATTCGGAAAGTGAAACATTATGGAAGATTAGAGAAAAAAAGCAAATAATTTACAAAGCAATGGCCTGAGGGAGTATTGGAAATTAGCCAGAGTCCTCAGCCTAAAAAAAACAAAACAACCACAACAACAAAAAAAAAACTAGAGTGTACGAAGGGACTTCAAAGGACTTGTAGAAAATGGAATTAAAACATGAATTTGCACTGAGCTAAAAAAAAAGTTTGCTGTTCATGCAAAGAGTCTTTAAAAACATTCATGGAGAAATGTGTTATGAGGAAATTCACCTGAATTTGAGTATTTTGAATTACTCTGTTATAACAAGTACAGACACGAGTAGGGAACTCTCATATTCAAGACCATTGCTTGCAAAGGGCAAGACTGGCCAGTGGGGGCAATAGCTTTAGGAGAGATAACCTGAATTCTGCAAGAGGGACTCTGAGAAAATGATTCAAATTGCAGCTGGTGTCCTTGACCAACACCAAGAGGAAACAAAACAAAACCAAACCCAGGTCACTGGAAATGGGAAGAACCAGAACGCATTTCTCCCAACAAGAACCAACAGAAGGGAGGGGAAGGGCAAATGAGAGAAGCGCACAAGCCCCTGTTGCTGCAGGGCCTTGTCTTCCTCCTGACAATCTCATAGCAAGGTCATGGTCAGAAAAATGAGAGTCAGTCATCTGGCAGAGGAAGAAAGAGAATGCCATCAGGAAAATCCTGATCGACAGCATGGAACAATCCATTTACAGAGTTCTAAAGGTGGAGGACTGAGCAAGGACACAGCCTGTGAGTAATCACCCTGAGTCTGGAAGGAAAGAGAGCAGGAGGACAAATATGGAGATAGCTCATCCATGGGTTAGCTCATCAGTGGGCAGGGGGAACCCTGCGGGGAGCAGGAGGGCACAGTATAATTCCCCTGAAACTGCCAGGGGTACCCCAGTCCAGGCATAGACCTACAAATGCAGACAGAGACCTAGGTTGGCTGCACACACTTGGAGTTCTTTTGGGTACAGCTGTAACAAGTGCCACATCTTTGAATACGCAGTGTTAATATACTGCTCATACACATGGAGAAAACACCACTTCAGGAGAAAGAAAATGGGATAAAAATTGGAACACTGTAATATTTCCTCTCCAGCAAGACTACTAAAAATGAATGCCTCCTGAATTTTCCTCTGGGCTGTGTTATTTTTTTTTTAACATGGTCCACAGTGATAAATATTTCTAACAGTGTTTACTAATGAGCATGCTGTTGTGCATAAATTATACTTTACCAGCTGTATCCTGAGGAAGTTCCATACTCTTCAAGCTAAAGTCCCAGACTCAATACCACAAAGTCGGTGATTTGAACCTCCTGGCTTAGAATCCACACCCTGGATAACTCTGGATGAATTCTCTGGATGAACTCTGGCTTAGCCTGGGGTTTAACCTGAAGTTACTATGGTAACAATAACAACAGAGAGAGGTTCAAAAAGCACAGATACATGGGAATAAAGAATAGTTCATTATAGGAGCAGCCTGCCTTTCTCCATTTTATCAAGTATTATGCCATTTGGGGCAGACTGAAAAGGAAGATCACTTACAAATGAAGTTAAGTTTACTTACAATAAAAGTTTCATTAATTCTGGAAAGTAATTTATAGCACAAAGGGGAAGAGGCAAGACAGAAACATGTATATTCTAAATGCTGATTATTTTGACATGCATGGTCACAATCACTCCCTCTGAACAAAAGAACGGGACAGCTCCTGCTCCACCAATCTCAAGCATGTGGACCTCCCTGCCATTGTAAGAAATGTTGTGGAAAAAAACAAAGGGGGTTAATTACCCACAAATGCCATACTGTGAACACATCTGCAGGGGAGGGTGAGGAGCTTGCACACACATGCATGCACACAGCCCGGCATTGCTTGGCTTTGAAAAACTCTTCTTCAAAGCAGTTCTGTTGCTGTCTGAACATGACATGGTGTACCTGAGCAAGTGCTGGTCACTATGATGTTAGCAGATGAAACAATCTTATGGGAACACTAAAGGACATGCCGTGCACTACGGGATAAAACATCATGTGGTGTGTGATTTACACAAGCTTCTGGCTAGTGTTCATGTGGAAGACCTAGCCCTAGGCTGTTTCTGTCATTGTGGTGGTGGTATGTGTGTGAACTGGTGGATAAAGATTTCTTGATCGCTCTCAATATATTAAATTTCAAAAGAAATGATATCTGCATTAGAAAACAATGGATAAATCAGCATAGTACCAATGTTTTTGGAAGAGTAATTAAACAAGATTAAGGGCCAGCACAGTGATTGATGTAGAGGACTAGGTCTTGGTCTGTGGCATTCGCATCCCATATAATGCTGGTTTAAGACCTGACTGCCCCACTTTTCGATTCAGCTCTGTGCTGATTTATCTATGAAAGCAGTAGAGTAAGGCCCAAATGCTTGGGCTCCTGCAACCATGTAGGAGACCCAGAAGCAGCTCCTGGATCCTGGCTTCAGACTGGCCTAGCTCTGGTTATTGTGGTCACTCCCAAAGGGAGTGAACCAGTCAGTGGATGCAAGATCTATCTCTGTCTCTCCTATCTCCATAACTCTGCCTATCAAGTAAAAACTGATCTATCAAAAAGATAAAATATTTTAAAAATGAGATTAAAAGAGAATTTTTAGTGGTTGAGTCAGCTTTGTTTTTAACGTTTTCCAGAGTATGCATGTGTGAGTGTGTATGTGTGTGTGTGTTTATGGCTGTTCACCAACCCATTTTTGAAATCTTGATTGTTGAAGTTTGCTGTTACAACAATATTGCATCTAATGACTATATTGCTGTCAGGCCCTGTTGTAAATCCAGTTAGAATATTCAAGAACATGACACAGGTTTTATCACTATCCTTATGTTATGGATAAGATTGAGGCACAAGGAGGTTAATGATTTTGTCCAAGGATGTGATGGAACTAGCCAATAATTTAGACTGGAAGCAAATACCCCAAATGTCTATGGCTGTTTTTCAGATGTGGGAATGAGGTACCAGGATCTTTAACAATGATAAGGACAGTTGAGAAAACACCAGGGGGACTTGAGGAGGGGTTGGAAATGGGGGTGTCTGAAACATTCCCCAACTCAGGCTTGGCAGAATCAACCCTTGGCACCAGGGCCAGAAAGGGCTAGGCAGGCATGGGAGAGGCCAGGTGTTCCCGTGCTGACAGGTGCAACTTGACACTGCTCAGTTTTATTGCAGGTGTTTGAATATGCACAGCTGAAGTTCAAGCAAGAAGTCAGGTCTGGACCTGAGAGCTGAGCTGGTAGTTAGAGAGATGGCCCTGACCAAGGGAAGGCAAGGGAGAAAAGGAGAAGAAGGGCCAAGGACAGAACTCAGCAGAAACTCAGTATTTGCAGGGCACGCTGGGAATCACAGGTTCATTCAGATATAATACTAAACCAACAAACTCAGATATGAAATGCCAGGCAAATATGTACTCTTCAAGGTAGGTGTATTTGTGGGAAGCCAGGTAGCACCAGAACTGGTTCAAACCCAGCCCAGTCTTCTTGCGTGTTCTGCTGGTGCTGCCTGGGGAATGTGGCTCAGATCAGTACGCTACACAAACCATTGAGAGCACTGAATGCAGTAAAGCCACAAAAACCCTTACAGGGTTTAGCACGTCACATGGATCTGATAAATACTAGACACTGTCATGAATGAGCATGCAAATCCCAGAATTATTTTCATCCCACTATCAGCTAAGGAAAATGAGCGGGAAGTATGATGGGTGGCAGGAAAAAACCAGAGCAGGAATTGTGTGGAAAAGCCACCAATGGAATATCACAAGGTGTGGTTTGTTGAGTTCTGCTACAGTGTAAACCAACAGAATGTAAACAATTGGGTGAAAGAACTAGGACTGACGCTGGAATGTGAGATACGGAATAGCATTCACATTTTTGTTGTTCTAAATATTCAGCAGCCAGTGCCTGGCGCAGTCATTCCTTGACAAATCTGTTGAGCATAACCCTTGATGCAGGTGAAAAACAAAGGGATCCACTTCACTGTTTCAAGCGTCTCACACACCCAGGCGGAGGGCAAGATGGAGACGCGCCCTACCTCACATGATGTCATCCTGTCATCCGAGACCTCTCCCTTGGGTTTAGGCCGCATATTTGAAATTCCCAGGCTTATCTGCCCCCTTTTGGAGTAGCACTCCGTGCACACCAGCGCTCCTTAAGACGCAAACGTGCCACGTGTGCGCGGGAACCGCCATGGCACCCGGCCCGGGCCACGGCCGAGCCCACCCCCTGGAACGCGCGCGGACCACCGCCCCAAGCACAGCCCCGGGCTGCCAGCAGGGGACCAGGGAGGCCCCCAGGACGCGGTCCGCCTCCCTGTCACCCACGCCCTTCCGGAGGCCAAGCCGGCTGCTGTAACGGCGGCGCTCACGTCCCTCTGGTCTCTGCCCTCGGTGCAGCCCCCAAGCCCCTCCAACGCCGTGAAAAGTCGTAGATTATCTTTTTTGTGTGTGGTTCTGGTTCGGCTGTTAGCCTTTTTTCCAAGGCTCGTCAACCTCGGGCATCCTGGCCGGCCCCGAGGAGCCGTCGGATGGGGGGCGGTGGGGAGACGGCGGCAGCCAGGCCGCAGTCCCCTCGGAAGGCGCTCCTCGGAAGACGGCCCCTGTAAGGAAGGCACCCCTTTGGAAGGCGGCCAGGGGAAGGAAGGCGGCACCTCGGAAGGCTGCCAGCGCCTCGCACTCCTCGCCGCCATCCCGGCCGCTCCCACCCGGCCCCCGACGCGCCCGCGCGCGCTCAGCACCGGCCGGTACGTCTTGTGCGTCGAGGGGCGGGGCCGGCTCCGTGACGCACTGGCTCCGCCCCTGCCGCGCCGATATCCCCCCGCGCCGCCCGCCATTTTGTCTGCATTGCCGCGTTAGCCGTCGGTCGGTGGATCTCTACCGTGTGGGACCTGTAGGCGGGAAGCAGCGCCCAGGGTCTATTGTCTGTGATTGTCTCCGGGGTTTGGTCCGGAGCCCTCCGTACCCGTCCCGGGGGTAGCCAAGCAGAGGCCACCCCATCCGTCCCTTCCGCCCCCGGCCCCGGGAGGGACCGAGACCGCGTCACGCCCCTCAGGCGCTCGCCGTTCCCTCCTGTTAGTTGCGTCCGCCTCGTGTTCCCCGGAATCAGACGGCACCCCATAGATGGCCAGCTTTTCCCCGAGGGTCAACGAGAAAAAGATCGGTGAGGAATGGGATGGCGGGACAAGTACGCTGGGGGAAACTGCGGGAAGAGCCGACGGGAGCCCCGAGGCCCGAGCGTGACCGGCGGGGATGGCGCGGGGGCTGCCCGGGGTCTGCGTCCGGGGCTGGGGCGGGAAGAGCTGATGGGATCCCCGAGGACCGGTGGGGACGTGGCGGGGGTTGCCCGGGGTCTGCGTCCGGACCTGGGGCGGGAAAAGCCGACGGGAGCCCCGAGGACCGGCGGGGATGGCGCGGGGGCTGCCCGGGGTCTGCGTCCGGGGCTGGGGCGGGAAGAGCTGATGGGATCCCCGAGGACCGGTGGGGACGTGGCGGGGGTTGCCCGGGGTCTGCGTCCGGACCTGGGGCGGGAAAAGCCGACGGGAGCCCCGAGGACCGGCGGGGATGGCGCGGGGGTTGCCCGGGGTCTGCGTCCGGGGACCGGCGGGGACGTGGCGGAGGCTCCCCCGGGTCCGCGCCCCGAGCGGGGGGCGTCCGGCGCGCCGCGGCTGGTCACGCCCAGGGAGGGTCTCCCTGGCGAGTCCCGGGGAGCCGGCACGAAGTGGACGTGTGTGTTGGCGAGCAAGAGATGGCTGAGAACTGGGGAGAGGCGGCGGCAGGCCGGAAAAGGCGCACTTTTAGAAAAGGAAGGCAGCGGTGCAAGGGAGGAGACGCGTTCAGGATTATCTCTCGGACACACAGGGGGGAGCGGACTGCGGGGCGCGGCATCCGGCGGTGTGCGCTGGCCCTGGCCGCTGGACCGAATGCGCGCAGGTTGCAGGAGGGCCGCAGCCCGGGCGGCCGCCAGTGGATGGACTCCTGGCCTCTGGAGCTGTTTTGGCCTCCTGGATTCTTCCACTTATGGCTCCTTAGGAGGGAGCTTCAGCCACGCTGTAGTAGCTTTTAAAGCTATAATAAAAAATATTTTTACAGGACTATTATGTTTTGAAGTGGGACGGAATTAGTCCTGTGGAGGTTCTCCGTGGTCCACACCCCGGTGTTGCTAGGTGATGCCTTCAATTTAGTCTGGATTTTACTGCAGTGCGTTAACCCATTTTGACTTCTTTCAGAAGGGCTGGGTGGAACTTTTTAGAATACCTGCATAAGGTAGAGCCAGGCACTAAATAGGTAGCTTCTATTAGTTTACAAATTTTAAAGAGAAATATTATTGATGAAATATTTCACTGTGTAGATGTGAATAGGACTTAACTTTCTGCCTTTTCTTGGGTATTAGTTGTAATCTGGCCAAGTTTGGCTTCTTGTCTCCATAGTAAAGTAAGGGCAGGGTTCCAGCAAGGGATCACAGGATCCTCTGCCGTCTCACAGGCCTGCCCTGCCGCACGTCCTCCCTTTCTGGTTAGGAAATGCCAGGAAGGAAGGTGAGGAAGGAGCTCCGTCTGGTTTGGTTGGTTGCTGCGCTGACTCAGATGCAGCGCTGTGTGGCTCTGTCTCCGAGTGGCCCTCCTGAGGCAGGCAGGGTACTCCTTGGGCAAGGACATTGCTGCGGAGAATGTAGTAAAGCTTAGGAAACATTTTTAAATGTGCTTTATTGTAAACCTTTTGCCGGGTTTATACTATACTGTACTATTATGAGTTAGCATTTTAAAAGGCTCAAATCGTTTGATTAGTGTAGAAATAATTGGGTACGTTTGTTAGTCAGCTAGTGTAGGTTTCAAGGTAATTTTTAGTAAAAATTCTTGTCAGCATGCGGTGTGTTTACTTGGCAGGTTTTATAATGGCCCAGTTTCTTTTAATTTCCAAATGTTTCAGAATAAATTTATTATTTTCATAATTTTTGTTGTTGGAACTAGTTTTTAGGTTAATTTAGGAGCCTCATGATTGTGGGTAAATAAAAAAGAAATACCAAGTGACCTTGAACTGTGGGCTTTTCAGAAGGCATCTTCTGTGGGAAATTTGGTGTTTTCAGTTTGTCAGGGACTTTCTTCTTTTCAGATAATGTTGCCCCAATGAATTTTGTCTTTCTCCCTGAAAGTATGTATGATTAAACAGAAACCAATGTCACAGGAAGAGATTTGGCTGCAAGTTGCAGATTTAGAGTCTAGACATAGTGCTGGTTGCATGTCTGTGTGACTGAGGCTAGTCTCAGAACTAGGGGAGTTTATACATATGCGTTCATGTTTGTTCAGTAAATATTTACTGAGCACCTGTTGTGTGCTAGGTGCTATACTGCTGTTGATAAGAGTATGTGCAGACTGAAAGTGTCACTGAAGGACTACATTTGGAGTTTGTGTGTATACAGTTGTATCTGCTGTATCTGTATCTGTATCTGATTAAATACATGGATCTTATTTTAACTAGAGTACATAGAATATGTTAAAGTTTTCATAGAGTTTAACCAAAAAAAAAATCCCAAATAACATGTACTGTAGGTGTTTTACTTGAAAGTTACAGAGAACTTTGCTTGTTTTTAAATATTTTTGTTTTGAAAGGCAGATTACGCAGAGAGGTGCTCCATCCACCAGTTCATTTCCCAGTTAGCTGCAACAGCCAGAGCTGAGCTGATTGGAAGCTTGGAGCCAGGAGTCTGTCCCGGGTGTTCCACGTGGGACCAGAGATCCAAGGGAGCCGTTCTCTGCTGCTTTCCTTGGCTTAAGCAGGGAACTGGGTAGGAGGTGGAGCAGTCCGGACTAGAACTGGGATGCAGGCAGTGCAGGGTGAAGGATTAGCTAGTTGGGCCTCTGTGCTGTTCCCAGCAGAGCTTTCTGACTTCGCTCCCCAAATAACTACATAGTATCAGCGAGCTATTAGTATCTAGCAGAAATGGAGCAACTAGGACTCTAACCGTGGCTCATATTGGATGATGTTAACTTGCTCTGTTGCTGTGTGGGGCCCCCTGCTTTCTAGCGCTGACCAGACAACAGATAATAAGATAAATATTAGGGAAGCTAAACTGATATTAAATGAAAAAAAATTAGCAAAGTTTGAAGCCAAAGCCAGATCAAGATAGTGTTGGTGATGTAGTAGGTTAAGTTGCCATAAGGGCACTTATAGCCCGTAACAGAATGCAAGTTTGAGTTCTGGCTTCTTAGCTTCCAATCCAGCTTTTATGCTAATGCACATGGGAGGCAGCAGATGATGGTTCAAGTTCGTAGGTCCCTTCCATCCACATAGGACACCTGGAGGTAATTTTGGATCCTGACTTTAGTGCTGTGTGGGGAGTGAGCCAGAGGATGGAAGGTCTGTTTCTGCATTTCAAGTAGGTGCAAGTAAATACTCATTGAAAAGATCTCATTAAGTTCTTCACACCAGTTATATACCTCCTTTCTTTTTTTTTTTTTTAAAGATTTATTTTATTTTTATTGGAAAGGCAGATATACAGAGAGGAGAGACAGAGAGGAAGATCTTCCATCCGATGATTCACTCCCCAAGTGAGCGCAACGGGCCGATGCTATGCCGATCCGAAGCCAGGAGCCTCTTCCGGGTCTCCCACACGGGTGCAGGGTCCCAAAGCCTTGGGCCGTCCTCGACTGCTTTCCCGGGCCACAGGCAGGGAGCTGGATGGGAAGCGGGGCTGCCGGGATTAGAACTGGCGCCCATATGGGATTCCGGCGTGTGCAAGGCGAGGACCTTAACCACTGCGCCATTGCGCCAGGCCTATATACCTCCTTTCAGTCAGAGGTGGGAAACCTTTTTCTGCTGAGGACCATTTGAAAATGTGTAATATCCAAAGTCTGCTAGACAGTTCATTGAATTTTTTTTAAAGATTTATTCATTTCTATTGGAAAGGCAGATACACAGAGAGGAAGATCTTCTGTCTGATGGTTCACTCCCCAAGTGGCTGCAATGGCTGGAGCTGAGTTAATCCGAAGCCAGGCGCCTCTTCCAGGTCTCCACACGAGTGCAGGGTCCCAAGGCTTTGGGCCGTCCTCGACTGCTTTCCCAGGCCACAAGCAGGGAGCTGAATGGGAAGTAGAGGTGCCAGGATTAGAACTGGCGCCCATTTGGGATCCTGGTGTATTCAAGGCAAGGACTTTAATAGCTGCGCTATCACGCCAGGCCCATTTCATTGAATTTTGAGTTCCACCTGAGGTTGTCTTGTCAGGCTGTGTGATTCCCATCCAAGTTTTAGATACTGGAAAGAAGTTTTCAGTAGACCTTATTTGTATAGGTAAAGGAAAATAATTCTGTGAATCTCAAAGCAGTCTCGTTCCTTTTTGGTTATAGCTGATACTCTGTACTTCTGTGCTTCCTTTTAGTGAGATCACGTACTATAGGCGAACTTTTAGCTCCAGCAGCTCCTTTTGACAAGAAATGTGGTGGTGAGAATTGGACTGTTGCTTTTGCTCCAGATGGTTCGTACTTTGCTTGGTCACAAGGACATCGTACAGTAAAGCTTGTTCCTTGGTCCCAGTGCCTGAAGAACTTGTAAGTTGTATGTGGGGGGGTGGGGAGTTGATTGTATTCTTTGTGGAAGTCACAACTCTGTGGGGTAACAATTTTGATAAAGGTTTTGATTTGTAAACTATGTTTTAACTGTTTAATCATAAGCTGAATTGTTTATTGGAAAGTATTTGTGAAGAATTAGCTGGCTTTCACTTTTGGCTATGTGTCTAGGATTTTTCATGCGTTGAAAGGCAAAGTGTGCCTGGGTGTGTGTGTGTGTGTGTGTGTGTGTGTGTGTGTGTGTGTGTGTGTGTGTGTGTGTGTGTGTGTGTGTGTGTGTGTGTGTGTGTATTTCATGATATGGATCTCACGCTGTGCCAGAGTAGATGCTTCTTTGTGGATTCCCGTTTTACTGTTAACAGTGGTGATTAGGCAATGTAATTATCTGGAAGTTGAGTTGAAGGCTTTGTTGAAAACTTTTTCTAAGTCTTTCCTGCTGTTTGTGTCTGCTACACCTTCGTGGGTATGTTGTTAATGTCCTTGTTAAATATTACTTAAGGTCTAGAAAGTCTGAGAAACTGATTATTATTAGCTTTCCCCCCTTCTCCCCTTTGCTGGATTATACTTTTTCTTTGAGGTCACAGAGTTCTGGTTGATAGAATAGTTTTAAGGAATATCTGGGAAGCAAACTATAAATTGCTTTATTGAGCTTTTCCTCAGTTATTGTAGGATTTCTGTTAACAGTCTGCATTTTCAGTTATTACCTTTTAGTTCATAGCAGCTTTTTACCCTTCACAGCTGTAGACTTTTGTTACTCATTATCAGTATAACCATGCTGAAGTTATTTTAATAGTTTGAATGTCCAATTTCCAGAGTGAATAATAATTTTCTTTAAATCCACCTAGTCTTCTGCATGGCACCAAGAATGTTACCAATCCAAGCAGTCTAAGATTGTCAAGACAAAATAGTGATGGTGGTCAGAAAAACAAGCCTCGTGAGCATATTATAGACTGTGGAGATATAGTCTGGAGTCTTGCTTTTGGGTCTTCAGTTCCAGAAAAACAGAGTCGCTGTGTAAATATAGAATGGCATCGGTTCAGATTTGGGCAGGATCAACTACTCCTTGCTACAGGGTTAAGCAATGGACGTATCAAGATATGGGATGTATATACAGGTAAGGATTTAAAAGAAAACTTGATTATTTTACCCTGCAGGGCCCTGTTGATAGACCTTGAAATGTATTTGAGCATTGTAACTCACTGAAGTCAGTGCTGTTAGTGTGTTTTTCTGATTGTCTGGAATAGTGTCATGGTTTTAATTTAGGAAAACAGTATAATCCATGCTGCTTGGTCACTCTTCACCTTGGGAGTTGAACAGTCCATTAATAACTCAAGGCCAAGGAAATGCAAGCAAGAATAATTCAGTTTTATGCTTTTAAATCCAAAGATGTGAAAAAGAGCATAGAGGTTTTTTAATTTAGAAATTTTTTGTTTATTTGGAAGTTGTAGAGAGGAAGAGACAGATCTTCCACCTGCTAGTTCATTTTTTTCGATGGCCACAGCAGCCAGTGCTGGGCGAGGCTGAAGCCAGGAATCAGGATCTTTGGGATCTCCCATGTGGGTGTAGGGACCCAAGGCCTTGTCTTTCACTGCTTCTTCCAGGCTGTGCCTGTAGGGATACCCTCACAGGCTACGGCTTTACCTGTTACACCACAATGCCAGCCCCAGGGCTTTTCTTGACACTAAATTAACTTAATCTGGGAACTTGTTGGATTTCAGAAGCTCATGTCTATTTTTTCTGTTAAACTTAGTGAATCTTTAAAATAATAAGAATAGCATTAGTAATATACCTGTCATAATCTATTTGGTAAGCTAAGGAACTACTTTTTAAAAAATGAGTCGGCTTATTTTTCAAAAGTGAGAACTGATACAAAATATTAATACTACTCTCTTTCCGTCTTTTAGGAAAACTCCTCCTTAACTTGGTTGATCATACTGAAGTGGTCAGAGATTTAACTTTTGCTCCAGATGGGAGCTTAATCTTAGTGTCAGCTTCAAGAGACAAAACTCTCAGAGTGTGGGACCTGAAAGATGATGGTATGTCTTTTGTTCCTAGGTTGTAAAAGTATTTGTGTCTTAGTTTTAATTTAAAAAAAATTTTTTTTAAGATTTGTTTTTATTAGAAAGGCAGATGTACTGAGAGGAGAAACAAGAGAGAAAGATCTTCCATCGAGGGGTTCACTCCCAAATGGCTGCAATGTCGAGAGCTGAGCCAATCTAAAGCCAGGAACCAGGAGCCTCTTTAGGGCCTCCTACATGGGTGCAGGGTCCCAAGGCTTTGGGCCGTTCTCCACTGCTTTCCCAGGCCACAAGCAGGGAGCTGGATGGGAAGTAGAGCAGCTGGGACATGAACCAGCACCCATATGGGATCCTGATGCCTGAAGGGCAGGATTAGCCAATCAAGCCATTGCACCAGACCCTTAGCTTTTTAAAAATAGATTCAGTGTGGTTCATAGGTACAAATCTATAACTCTAACAAGACAAATGTGAACAGTTTAGGTGAACAGTTTTAGGAGGGGTGTGCAGAGAAATCTTCAATACCCTAGTGAGGAGTAACTAATCTTTGTGTCCCACCCAGTGAGTTATAAGTGCATCCCCGCTGACTGCTTCCTGCCTGTTTCTAAGCTTTCCTTGCTGTTCTCTGTTCTAGTTTTTTTGTTTATTTGTTAGTTTTGAGGGGTCACGAGCGATCCTGATTGTCATTACGAGAGAGGGTGGGGACCCCAAGTCGGAACCTGGCAAGAACCAGAGAAAGCTAAGATATCCATACTTCCCACAATGTCCCTCCTTTCTTTTTTATTTAATTTTTGCAAAAACAATTTCAGTCCACTCTATAATTACAACCTTACTGCATCACTAGCAACAATATTCCAACAAGCAAAAAGTACAAAAACCTCAATTCTGCAGGAATATAAATAGGAACTTATACAACGACCACATCACAAGATGTCCATTTTATTCCTCTGCACTTGTAGTCTTTGTTAACTGCTGCATATCAGATTACTGCTGATATAAGCATAGGTATGTTCTGTAGGTATGATACACAAGAACTGTAGAGTGGAGTGTCAGTTATCAGAATGGGTGAAAAGGCATTTTCAGAAAGTTCAGCTTGCTGTATTCCAGTTCTTTTTTGTAAATTGAGTATATTTTTTGTATATTGAGTATAACTAAAATAATTTTTTCTTGTAGATGAAAGAGCACAGACTGTTTCTTAAAGGACAAGATGTGAAATAGTTTAGGCCAGTGGACCATGCTGTCTCTGTTATAATGTCACAGTGTTGAGGCATGATTTATATGCTGGTTAAATTTTAGAGAATTAAGCAACTGGCTTCCATCTGTAAAAGTTTGTGATGCTGTGATTTATGGCTGTTCTGAATTTGTAATATGATAACACAGGTGTCTTCTTTGTTTAGGAAACATGATGAAAGTGTTAAGGGGACATCAGAACTGGGTGTACAGCTGTGCATTTTCTCCTGACTCTTCTATGCTGTGTTCAGTTGGAGCCAGTAAAGCAGTATGTGTCCAAGTTCTTATGCATTCGATGTGAATTGGGTTATAATAATGTATGCAAAATCATTTTAAATGTCAGTAGCCTGTTGAGTCTGTGCTCGGTGTCATGAATATCTTAAATGTTTCATGATGGGGAGAATTTGCATGAAGAAAATTAAAGAATATTGATTTTGAAGTGAGAAGTTTGATGCTCCTTAGGAATAATATTTGTAAAATGAGGGGTATGTTAGGTTTGTTTTTTTAGGATACAGAAGAAATTGCTTGGTTTTGTATTTATAGGGGCGCTTATATGCTTCAAAAGAGTTCATGTGTTAAAACATTCTCTCGCTAATTATTATTTTTTCTGTTCTATGTTTTTGGTCCAGTTTGCTGTTTTTAAAGTTCTGATTCCCAGCTGATCCTGGACACTTAACTGAAAAAAAGTAACTTAAAAACTCAATAATAGGAATTAAGAATAACACTCGTGTATCCTAGAGTGAATGATAATTGAGGTTTTGATGCCGTTAATGTAGCATATTTATGGGCAACTAGCACAGTGACTCGTGAGAGGGTTTTGCTGTCAATGAGTTCTATAATTTGTTTACCAGTTCTGAGTTAGTCCAGGTAAAGGGGCCTCTATAGTTTCTGATGCTTATGAAATGGTTGAAGTCCAAATACATGTGATGTTCACAGTACGCTTTCTTAATAAGGGGTGGGAGGCTCGTTAAAATGCCTTTTGTTTAGAGATATGTTAAAATGGTAGTTGCAAATGTTGGAAGTTTAGAACAAGGTATTCAGTTTAGTGTTTTAAAAAAATAAGAACAAAGCTAGATGTTGACATTGCTATTTTAGGCTGTGTGTTTTCCATATGCTTCTTGCTTTCCCTGTCACAGGTGGTGGCAGCAATATTGGTGTGATTGAGGTTATGCTGGCACCACTCGCACACAGGCGCACATGGTGTTAGCTGGGCAGAAAGAGTGGCATCTCTGGCTACCGGGCTGGGGGCGACCTTTACCGTAGGATGAAGTAACCTTGCATTCGGCTGCAAGGTGTACTGTACGTACAGGTGCTGGTCGATGTCCACTTTCTGCTTTTCTTTCTTTCTTTTTTTCTTTTTAAAAATTATCTTCCCCACAGTGAAATTCACTGGCTCCTTCAAGTAAATTTATCTTCTAGTTTGATGACATTGGAAGTTTTAAGTGAAAAACAAAAATGTAAGGTAATTGGCTTTCAAATGGTTTCTCTGTAACATTTTTTGGAATTAAGATACTAGAGTTACTGTAAATCTTTGATCCAGTTTAAAAATGTATACTTACTTTCCTTTAGAAATAATACCTTGTGTCTGTGTGAAAAATGTAGCAAAAACAACTTTTACTTACTCCAGGAGGAGGAGAGGTTGTCTTTCTAGAATTATTGCAAACCTCTGAGCTCAGATTTAATGCGATAGACCTAAGTAAACAATAGAATCATACTAGAGCGATTCTGTGCAATCTGACTACTGATCTTTAGAATATAAAATTGAATGTGATCTTCAGTAGTTTGACTATTTTATACTTGAAATGAGTAATGATTGTGGTCAGTTTGGGAAAATAAGATTTGTAAATCTTGACTCAGAAATGTGGTAATATCATTTTCATTTTGTAATGTAGTTTAGCATCCTTATTATTTGCCAAAGCAGTTTCATTTGGCTGTGAAAATTCTCTGTGCTTGCAGTATCTGTTTCTCTTCCTAGGCTCACGTTGGTGACCCAAGCCTATTGTAAACAAGTGATAATCTCAAAGGGAGATACCAGTGGAGTAACAATTTGTTAACCTTATATTTTCTGTCTGTATATTTAAAAAAAATTTTTGTAGTTTCTGGAAATAAAAGGAAAAGGGGGTTTGTAGTACTTAACCCTGTTTCTGTATATTTTGGTTAACTAGTTTTTTAAATAAATGAATTTCAGTATAACTGTGGTTAAATTGCATTGCCTTTATGTTTAGGCTTATTTTAAAATTAACATTTAACGAAAATATTTGAAATAGAATTTGCATGTCTGCTTTAATTAACTTAAAGACTGATTGTTAATCTGACACTGAGCATATTCTTTAAATTACTCATTTATTATGCTTAATTCAGTATAATTAAATTAAATTTAGCAGTTTTAGTTAAAAGATGTGTCATTTTGTCCTCTGCGTGTTTGAATGAAGCTATAACCTTTGCCTTTTTATTGCAGGTTTTTCTTTGGAATATGGATACATATACTATGATACGGAAACTAGAAGGACATTACCATGATGTTGTAGCTTGTGACTTTTCTCCTGATGGAGCATTGCTGGCTACGGCATCTTATGATACTCGAGTGTATATCTGGGATCCTTACATTGGAGAAATTCTGATGGAATTTGGGTGAGTTCAGCATGAATTATCTTAGTCTGTAATTCCCCTCTGGCTGTCACTGTATCTTTTAAGAAGTTATATGAATAATATCACTACCGTGAAGCCTAAAACTAGTCTCTCGATTATAAAGTTTTGCTACTTAAACATTTAAATAATGCAAAGCTTCAGAACAAATCTTAAAACCAAATTTGGCTTTTTTGATACAGGTTTTGCTAGTTAACGTAACTATAGAAGTGATACTTTGATTTAGAGTTTGAGGTCAGGGAAAAGTAGCTAGAACCCCATGTTGTGAGAAGTGGGTTGGTAATTCCTTAAGGTCATTTTACTCAATTTAATATGTCTCCTGTGTTGTGTTTTTTCAGTTGCATTGACTAAGACTACCTTAAAGCTTTTTCAGAGACAGTTTTGCTATACTTGGGTGGTTTTGTTTCTTGAATAATTCATGTCCACTGAAAACATGTATTTGACCTCAGGCACCTGTTTCCCCCTCCCACTCCAATATTTGCTGGAGGAGCAAATGACCGATGGGTACGATCTGTGTCTTTTAGTCATGACGGACTGCATGTTGCAAGCCTTGCTGATGATAAGTAAGTGTGTGAATTATAGCTTATTACGTCTGAAAGATTTCCTTTCATCTTTCCGTGCAATGGAAATGCTCTTAGGCCGTAAAACCTGTCCACAGTTAATGGGGATTTGAACGTCTCTTTCTCTGGACAGGATCTTTGGAGGCATTGGTATATCTTGAGGAATATTTGACTGGATAGAATCCTTGTGAGTTCACAATACTGCTTGCTTCTCCCTGTGTTCCTTGTTAGGATTTAGGCAAACTGGGTAGCTTTTTAATTAGCTCTTAGCTCATAGAGATGTTACTAAGCAGTGTCTTAGAGTCAATGCAGAGGAAATTTCTAAAGTAAAATAAATAGTTAAAAAAAATTGTATTTGCTGCTTTTGAGATTAAAAGATGAAATGTGTGTACATGGGTGAGGTATGCTGACTAGAACAGTGATGCATGTATTTTATGACTCCAAACACAGTGACATGCTTTATGAGTTTCAAAAGTTGCTTTTACCATGAAGTTGTTGCTCAGTACTCACCCAGTAATTTGCTTGTTTTCTAGAATGGTGAGGTTCTGGCGAATTGATGAAGATCATCCAGTTCAAGTTGCCCCTTTGAACAATGGTCTTTGTTGTGCCTTTTCTACTGATGGCAGTGTTTTAGCTGCTGGGTAAATACCTTTGTTGTTTTTTCTTTAAGGAGCAAGTTAAGGCGACTTTTATACAAAGTGGCCAACAGTTCATTGCCGGTCAGTCAGTCAGAGTGCTCTTCATACCTCTGTCCTGTACTTCTGTTAGTTTGTCACAGGGTACAATGTTAATTTTTGATGTTAATGTGGGGTTTGTAGCTCTAACACTGTTTCTGTGATAGGTTTTTTGAGCTGTAGGAATGTTAGAATAAAATGTGCTTGAGTGGCTGACTGTATGTTTTTTCTGCTTTTGTTTAGGACACAGGATGGAAGTGTGTATTTCTGGGCCACTCCCAGACAGGTCCCTAGCCTTCAACATTTGTGTCGCATGTCAGTCCGAAGAGTGATGTCCACTCACGAAGTCCAGGAGCTGCCCATTCCTTCCAAAGTTCTGGAGTATCTTTCCTATCAGAGTTAGAGACTCTGCCTTCCTTGGTCCAGGGCTTGGCAGAGTACACTTTACACAAACCTCAAGCTTTACTTCAGTATCTATTTTGGTGCATTCTTGTGCTGCATTTTGATGAGTTTAAAATATTATTTATAAGGGACCTATTTCTGAACATATCATATGTAAATTTTTAAAGGTATAACTGTGAAAACTTGTATGCATACATGTACATATTTAGATGTAAGCTGCTGCGAGTTGAATGGCCTCTGGCTTTTCTTATTTCTAGTTCTGGTTGTGGATACAGTACTTCAGCAGAGCCACAGTGCGTAGCTTTGCTTACTGTAAAGGAGTTTTTTATTTTGGAGCAGTGAATTAGATTTTTAAATACTGAGTTAGGAAAATTGTATTGCTTTACAGAAAATGTGTATGATTATAGGTGCTAGGTGTCTGGCTGACCTGTGCGTGACAGACGTTGTTGTGTAGGAAAGGAATTTTTTCCATTAGGGATGGCAGCTGAGAGGTAGGAGTTAACAAATGTAGTTGAGAGAGAACCAAAAAGGGGTCCCATTCCCCTACTTCCAGTACTGCTGTGGGCTACGTTTTGGAAAGCAGCTTGCTTTTTACCCCTATTGTATAAAGTATTATACACTTTAGTCAATTTGAAAAATTCATTTACTCTGTTACTAAGTATTTTGTGTTTTGCTAAGGGACAGTTATTTTAAGGCCATGGAATTTTTCTAAGTTGCTGAAGGCTCTGGTGTTAGTGATTTGCCAGTAGAAACAGTGCAGTCTGTGTGTTTTGGTCTGTTATTTATCTTACCTATAGATACCAAGAATGTATGCATTATGTAAAATGCTTGATTATATATTTTTGTTGAGTTTTTGAAATAAAGTCTTGGGGAAAAAAGCAATATGTTTACTGTTTCTTAAATATGTTAATAAGTTTGGTTTTTCATCTGCCTGCATTGTAAGATTGACTAAAGCAGACTAAGAAGTAAAAAGGCGATGGAGTAACACTGCAGGAGTAGGCGGACACTGCTTTAAAGTTGATTCAGTGCTTATTGACCAGAAGTTTATATTTTGCAGTATTTTGGGTTTCGAATTAGGGAAGCTCAATTGGCAAATATGACTCAAATTTTTTTTTTTTTAATTGGAAAGGCAGATATACAGAGAGGAGAGACAGAGAGGAAGATCTTCCATCCGATGATTCACTCCCCAAGTGAGCGCAATGGCCCATACTATGCTGATCCGAAGCCAGGAGCCTCTTCCAGGTCTCCCACGTGGGTGCAGGGTCCAAAGCCTTGGGCCGTCCTCGACTGCCTTCCCGGGCCACAGGCAGGGAGCTGGAAGGGAAGCAAGGCTGCCGGATTAGAACTGGCGCCCATATGGGATCCCGGGCGTGCAAGGCGAGGACCTTAACCACTTGCGCCATCGCGTCGGGCCCAGCAACTCAAATTTTTAAAACACTAGTGGTGCCAAGAATTTCTGATTAATGAATACTTAATATATTTTTGTTTTCACTGAGAAGTTATTTGGAAGTTCTTACATTTGTTTCTGTTAAGAGAGCTTGAAATGTGTATGGGTGTATTTTATAATTTTTTTTTTATTGGTTACATTGTATTATGTGACACAGTTTTATAGGCACTGGGATTCCCCCCTCAACTCCCCAAATCCGCCCCCCCCCCCCGATTCTTCCACCTTGTTGCATTACCACAGTTCAAATTCAGTTGAGATTCTTTCCTTGCAAGCATCTACCAAGCATAGAGTCCAGCATCTTATTGTCCAGATAAGTTCAACAGTTTCTTCAGGAGACCGTCTCTGGTCTGAAGGTAGAACTGACAGAGTATCATCCCAATCAATTAAAAGCCCCGACATTACATCAGTAACAATTTATAACGTACCAGCATTAGTTGACATGGTATTGAGTAAGCAGCATGTTAAAAGAGAAAAAAAAAAATGCAAGTTCTGAACCACATCCTGTGACTTCTACATTGACATTTCAATTATTACTTTATATACAACTGGGTTCTATATACCTTAAAATGGCTATAGATTACTATTCAGCTGTCTCATGTCTATTTCAATTTTACTATTTAGCAGTTTAGAGCGTTGAAGCATGATTTTGTAGAACCTGGCTGTTTTTCGGGTAGTCTTAACTCTATAACAAGACAAATGTGAACAGTTTAGGTGAACAGTTTTAGGAGGGGTGTGCAGAGAAATCTTCAATACCCTAGTGAGGAGTAACTAATCTTTGTGTCCCACCCAGTGAGTTATAAGTGCATCCCCACTGACTGTTTCCTGTCTGTTTCTAAGCTTTCCTTGTTGTTCTCTATCTATTCTAGTTTATTTGTTAGTTTGTTTTGGGGGGTTTCTGGAGCGATCCTGATGGTCATTATGAGAGAGGGTGGGGACCCCAAGTCGGAACCTGGCAAGAACCAGAGAAAGCTCTTCCTCCTAGTCCCGAAGGAAGTTTTTTGTTTCTGCGGACCGCTCAGTGCTCCTGGTTGTCGTTCTGATGTCCCTGGATCCTGCAAGGCAGGATTTGGGCTTCTTCCATCCCATGTGGTAGATCCAAATGGAGGTGGGTGACCTCAGAGTTCTCCGCCTCCGGAGGCACTCCAATTCCGTGTGGTCTCCTTGGCGGTTGGGATGTAGTCCTCAGAGCTCGTACTGATAATCCTTGGTGAGGATCTGGGAGTCTTCAGGATTGGGATACAAGCCGCCTCCTGTCCGCCTGCTCCACTCTGGGGTCCCCTCCTGCTCTGTGCATATGACCTCCTGTTAAGAGGTTGTTAGGATTGCTCCTGATTCCCCCATATGCCTTTGTAGTTTTGCTATTGTCTAATACTGATTTGAGTCTGTTGTCTATGAGTTACCAGTTATGATCCTGATAGGTTATATTTTATAAATTTTTAAAAAAATATATTTTTGATGAGGATTGAAGTACAGTTGAAGGATGTATACCCATTGGACCACTGATTGGGGTGAAGAGGGTTGAGGAATGGAGGAAAGTGGGTGAAACAGTTGCTTGCACTATTTTTTACTTTTTCTTCCTGTATCTGGGGAAACGGAGAGGATGGGAGAGGGCTGCTCAACATCAGCACCTGGGGTGGGGAAAGGCCATGATCATCCTAGGATCCCGGCTACAGACTATTGCAAGGGCACTGCTTAAGTGATTTAAATAGTTCAGAGATGCTGTTGATTTCATTGCTCCAAGATTGAGAAAATCCTTCCAAGGTCCATTGGCTGATACAGTCCACCTTTAGAGTCTCCACTGGCCCAGATACTTATTGTCAAAGCTTGGGGGACTTATAAATTTGAAAACCAATAGAAAATGTGCCTTTTATTTCTTGAGGATTGACTTGTATTTTTATAAAAAGTAACAGAAAAAGCATCTCTATTTTTTAAAGATGTTTTAATTGGAAAGGCAGTTACAGAAAGGAGAGACAGGTCTTTTCATCAGCTGGTTCACTCCCCAACTGGCCATAAAGCTGGGCCAGTCCAAAGCCCAGAGCTGCTTCTGGGTCTCCCGCATGGACGCAGGGGACCAAGCACTTGGGCCAGATTCCTGCACTGCTATCCCAGGCCATAAGCTGGGAGCTGGGTTGGAAGTGGAGCAGCCAAGACATGAACCATAAGGGGTGGTAGTGCCACAAGACCTAGTTTGCTATGCTACTGCACCACCATTACAGAAAGTATCTTTAAAACTGTTGGGTTTGGGCCCGGCGCGGTGGCGCAAGTGGTTAAAGGTCCTCGCCTTGCACCCCCGGGATCCCATATGGGCACCGGTTCTAATCCCGGCAGCCCCGCTTCCCTTCCAGCTCCCTGCCTGTGGCCTGGGAAAGCAGTCGAGGACAGCCCAAAGCTTTGGGAACCTGCACCCGTGTGGGAGACCTAGAAGAGGCTCCTGGCTTCGGATCGGCATAGTATCGGCCCGTTGCGCTCACTTGGGGAGTGAGTCATCGGACGGAAGATCTTCCTCTCTGTCTCTCCTCTCTGTATATCTGCCTTTCCAATGAAAAAAAATAATAAAAATAAATCTTTAAAAAAAAAAAAAAAACTGTTGGGTTTTGTTTTATTTCTTTTTGCATTTTTCTTTGTAGTTATGATTCCATTTGTCACTCTTCACACCCTTAAATTATTCCTTGCACCAACATAACAAAATCCAACTGTTCCTTGCTGCCTCGCAGGGTCTGCATTACCGGGAAGAGCCAGGGCTGGGGGTTGAATCCAGTTATTGCAACGTGGGATGTGGGCCTCTAATGGGTAGGCTGAAGGATTTCCTCTATGAGGCAGACTTTGTTTTTTTTTTTTTTTTGGAAATAAAATATGAAAATAGCATTTTAAAAGATGCCACTCTGCTTTTGAGCAGTCCTCAGCTATTTGCCACTACTTGTGGAAACCACAGTGCTAACATCAGGAAGATAGCAGAATATATGGGCCAGCTAGAAACAGGTTGCCTTTTCTGTTTCTGAGGATGGAGGGAACAGTCAGAGGGTAGTACTTAATCCTGAATGGCTGGAAGAAAGGAAGATTGGGTTAGTGTCTTGGCTCAGATTCTGGCTTTATGATTTTACTCTTTGTTCTTTGGCAAAAGAATGCCATTGGGAGAAATCCCAAGAGACCATTTAGATTTAGATTTGGCTTTCCATTTCAGTGTCCCATAGAAGTGCCATGTGGGGGCCCGGCACGGTAACCTAGTGGCTAAAGATTTTGCCTTGCATGTGCCAGGATATATGGGCATTAGTCCTAATCCCGGTGGCCCTGCTTCCCATCCAGCTCCCTGGGAAAGCGGTAGATGATGGCAAAAGCCTTGGGATCCTGCATCCTGTACCAGGAGTTCCTGGGCTTTGAATTTGGCAGAGTTCTGACTGTTGCAGTCACGTGGGGGATAAATCATCAGACAGAATATCTTCCTCTCTGTATATCTTACTTTGCAATAAAAATAAATCTTAAAAATGCCATGTGAACACAGGAAAATGTCTCACACTCAGCAGCTAAGCTATTCTTTCATCATAGTGAAATCACTTTAAGAGCTGTAACTTGATCTTTTTTTTTTTTTTTTATTGGAAAGGCGGATATACAGAGAGGAGAGACAGAGAGGAAGATCTTCCGTCCGATGATTCACTCCCCAAGTGAGCGCAACGGCCGATGCTATGCTGATCCGAAGCCAGGAGCCTCTTCTGGGTCTCCCACATGGGTGCAGGGTCCCAAAGCTTTGGGCCGTCCTCAACTGCTTTCCCGGGCCACAGGCAGGGAGCTGGATGGGAAGCGGGGCTGCCGGGATTAGAACCGGCGCCCATATGGGATCCCGGGCGTGCAAGGCGAGGACCTTAACCACTTGCGCCACCGCGCCGGGCCCAGTAACTTGATCTTACATTAGTAAATCTTAAATTTATGATCCTTGAAATTCCCTGCCTGCTTGTGTTTGAGGTGGAGTTGGATTCAGCTGGTCTGCACTGCCGTCGGGGCAGCAAGATCAAAAATGGCTGGACATTGGAGCATGCTTCTGGTTTGAGGCAGTATGAGAAACACAGGACTTGGATGTTAGCCAGCCAGTACACAAGATAATACTAAACATGGTCTTACCCAGGAACCACTGAGCCTCCACCTGTCTGATTCAATAATGAAGGTTTGTTGGTGGTACAGCATTCTGTCCAATAATTCTGACCCATCTCTGGGCTGAGACTTGCATTAAACTGTAGAATATGTAGAATGCAAAACAACTCCAGGGGCAGGGGGTTAAGTGCATATGAGTACTGGTGTCCCATGTTTGAAGGCCCATTTGGCTGCCCAGCAGCTCTAGGTCCGTGCTAATGTGCTTGGGAAAGCAGTAGGTGACAGCCCAAGCACTTGGTATGGGAGCAGTTCTGACCTCTAACCCCTAGAATGGGGAGAA